GAGAAAGCTCTATTTCTGTGCCTATGTGGATATTACCATGCCTGTATGTCCTAGAAAGCCCCAAATGGTAGGTGTGATCAATGCTACGATCTCCTGAAGGTATTGCTAATATTGTGACTCACACACAGAAACCTGAAATGCAGGGTCTGCCCTGACTGACCAAAAGTGACCTCTGATCACAGGATATTACAAACGAGGGGGCAAATCATCACATTGTAACTTATTGTCCTCCGTCCCCACAGCTGAAGTTGATGGAACAGCCTGAATTTACATCATCGAAAGATGAATTCGTCTTTTATAGATTCATCTATTACAAAGCCAAATTCATCTTCACGAACTAGGAAGGAATGACTAGTGGTCACTGAGATAAAGTAGAAAGTTAGAAAGCAGCCAATACAGAGGAACTAAATTGAAACTCACTGGATCCCACACCATTATGTGGGTGAAGTCCATTTCCCTGGGTTCCATACCATTATTATAATGAAGTCCTTATCCTGTATGTTTCCATTATTATATGGAACAAAATTAGTAACCACAAGCTTTTAATTCACCTTAACATGATCAAGTTAAATAGTTTTGATCAGGAAGCATAGAAGTTTTCTAGACCTGATTTTCTAGAAACATTGAATTCTTAATAATGTATTATTTTGACTCTTCATTCCTGTTTTATTCCTGTTGAAATATTTAGAATTCTTAAAGGATGTATGAACACTTAGTTCTGCTTATTAACAATGAGCCAAATGGCTCACAGTAGAGGACATGGCTAGCAAAGAAAGTGGAAAATCAGAGAATTTTGGCTAAGCAGTGTGGCTGTATTAAAAGAACAAGTGGGCTGTTCACTGTTTTAACAAAATTCCACAGATGTGTCAAGCAGTAAGATTTCACAGGGGAAAAAATAGCTGAACAGTACTTATTTACAGTATTTGTCTCAACCACACAGATTACTTAAAGAAAAATGCACATACACAGTAAACCACAAAACATGACATTAAGGCTTGCAGTGTAAGTGCATTCTTGTAAATTGGATTGCCTGTAAAATAAATAGGTAATGATGAATGCTATTTGTTTTACTTTTTTTTTAAAGTTTTAAGTATGATTAATGCCACTGTTCATCACATGCCATTAGACAAAAATGCACAATTAGAGATCCAAGCAGCAGCTCTATTCATGTCAGCAGCCTGCCAAATGTTACATTACGCTTGCATTTTAATTTAATAATTGTGAAGCAAAGAGAGAGGAGATGCACTCTGGTTTTCTCTGTCTGTAAAACCAACGCTCAAAAACAAACCTTGGTTCTAAATCAGATACTCTCCACTATTTCTCTTCTTAAAGCCTCAAGTGGCAAACACTTACCCTAAGTTCTAAGCTATCTAATTTTGGAGAAATGCTAAGTAAAATATTCTTTTCCTCAGCAAGGACATAAATTTGCAACAAATGTCTTTGTAGCACAGAGAGAAATGCCTTTGACAAGTTTTTAGGTCTCTGTCATTCCCTTATGGACTGTTTTGGCAGTGCTTTTGGAATACATTCCTCTTGGCATATATGTGCTGTTGCACCTTGCTGTTCTGTCTGTGGCATACAGTGAACAACTCAGCAGGATATACTGCCTTCAGTTGTAGTTTTGGGCCCAAAATCCATGGAAAGTTTGCTATAATGGGTCTAACTCAATATCACTGCAATATCCTATCTGTGAGCAAGGATCAATGCCTTTGCTTTCCATTCCAACAAGTGTTCATTTCTGATATTGGTTTGGGTAAGCAGGCAATCTTCTAAAGGGAAGCCACACAAAATTGTCATATTAAAAAAATCCTGTATGTGATTCTTTACCATATCGATCAATGAAAATTAATATTATTTACCTTTTCATGAACCTTTTGCCCTGGCTCCATTCCTTCTATATGCTCTGACTCGGTAGGCCCTTCACCAGCTGCCATTTTCCTTTGAATATGGGCATTTTGTTCACGCAAAGCTACAATCTGCAAAAAAAAGAAAATAAATGGTCAACATACCCCAAATATTCAGAAAGTACTGAACAAGCAAATTTTAAAATCTGTTGAAGTTTTGATCCCATATTATCTTTGTTGTAGCATTTGCAAAGTGAGGCCTATACACATAGAGATTAAAAAAATAAATAAACCTTATACTAATAATGAGTAAGGACCATTAAGAATAGAGTGGAATCAAAAATGATGCGAGATTCAATCTTAAGACTTGTTTCATCTTCTACCCTTAATTTGTGCTGTCGCTTCAGCACTGATTTCATTACAATACATGACAAGATAAATTATTTTGTGTAGCACACACCAGATATCAAACCAGCATAACATGAAAACTAGGCCAAAAGGCTGTGAAGTAAAAACAAGTGATGTATGGTAGAGTGCTAGCTTTATGACAATTTCCCATTTGTTGCTAACTTATATTTTTAGTGTGTTTTTGTTAATAAAAACACCTGCAGTAAACTTCTCAGTATCTTTTCATGGACAATTTTAGCACATATGCAAGTATTTTTTTTGTATTAATTGAAAACAGCTTTTTAATTTATTGGTAAAAGTATTCAAATAAGTTATGAGGAAGAACTTCTTTCCTGTGATGGTGACAGAGCCCTGGAACAGGCTGCCCAGGGAGGTTGTGGAGTCTCCTTCTCTGGAGATCTTCCAAACCCGCCTCGATGCCACCCTGTGCCATGTGCTCTAGGTGTCCCTGCTGGAGCAGGAGGGTTGGACTAGATGATCTCTAGAGGCCCCTTCCAACCTCAACCATTCTGTGACTCTGTGACTTCTCTCCTAGCTTGTAGCTTGCTCTTGGAGGATACACAGCATAGAAAGCTTCAGGTGCTAAAAGATTATTAGAAACCTGTTTTCACTGAACCTCTGAATTAGAAACCTGTTTTCACTGTCCTATCCTACAAGACAAAACTCAAGTGGTGAGAGGCAAGAGCTAAGGCAGTACTACTTGCTAAGCATGCAGAGCAGGATTTCTAGGGACTTTAAACAATCAATAGTTAAAAATGTATGTTAAAATAAATTTAACTTGATCTAAATAAACTAGCTCTAGAAAAGATTTTCAATTGTGGTTTTTAACTTATATTTGAGTTCTGATTATAAAGACCAATGGAATGAGCTCTGAGATCTCACGGATACACCACTTTAAATACCTGTTGCTTAATACGAATGTGAAAACTCTTTTGATATGAGTCAGGCAGATTTACTGATCACTAACTTCCAAGTTTCAACTCTCATTGCACTAGTGACTCCCATTGATTTCAGAGCCAAGACTGAGAGGGAAGGCAAGATTTCACCCAAAGCAATCACATGATAATATAAAAGAATGGGGATTAAAACAGAGACAATCATCTGAATCGTTTTGGGATATACAAATATACTGTGTTTTTGCAAAGAGATACAGAACACAATCTTCATTATCTCAGTAGTATATATATATTTTTCCTACACAGTAATCGATAATTTAATATTTCTTTTTCTGACTAGCTTCATTCACCTGTTTTTTTGTGTGTGATTCAAATCATTTTCAAATCTAAAACAGTAATTCCCATCAAGCAAATCAAACAGTAACAAAACGAAGTTTCAGCTCTGTCACATCTTAGAAGTATCCTCCCTGGGGTAGTTGCCATATAACAGACGTCAACTGTGTAAAGCCACATGGGAAATTTGCATTCAGACCTGATTCTATTGATTTAAAGAATAAAAAGTCACTGAAATATTTATGCAATAGTACTTTTGCGCTTGGGCAACTATCGTTATATATTCTATAGGTGCAACAATTAAAAAAACCCAAAAAACCAAAAAACCAAAAAAACAAGCACAAACAACATAATGTTAAAACCATAAGTTTTTTTTTTGTTGTTGTTGTTCTGGTTTAGCTGTAACTCTCTACAGATGACAGAGCTTAGTCTAGTATTCCCCAAAGTGTTGAGTTGCACTTAGCCAGGAAAAAAATAGAACAAAGCAAATTAAGAACTGGCATAGACTATCCTCTCAGTCACCCTGTGACACCTGAAGGTATGTACTGGACTCCACTACCTTACAGAAGGATATATTTGACTCTGTCAACATAGTACATATCCAAAGCTGGCTGAAACTTGGGTGGTATGAAACTCCAAAGGCTGTGTACAGAGGCACTCTGTAAAATACAGACAGGATGGTGAAAGAAACTACTGCCCAATGTCACAACTTTAGTTTCCTAATTTCCTTTATACAGAAAAATGATTCACGCAAGTAATTCCCACTAAGGCATGGTAACTAACCCTTGAGAGCTGCCACTTTTAAAATTATTTCAACTAGATCTGTAAGTGCCTATCTGTCAGCATCACTAGTCACTCTCCACAAGACACTTCAACATGTGATTTGCCATACAGAATAAGCTATATCTGCAAAAGAGCTTGAGGAAGACATATTCAGTCCTAAAATTCAGCCACTTTCTTCTGTTGGTATCAAGGGCAACTCCTAATGCTAATAAATGGATTGGGAAAGGACAGAAAAAAATCAACGAAAAAGTAAATATTCAAAAATTGTATGTGAAAAGTGTAGAGTACTCCATACTACCATCAAGTAATAGGTCTACCAGGAGAAAGTTGCAATCATCAGTCCAGCAAATTGGACTCCCAGTTCCCAAAGACCATAACCAATTCCACCTTTCTATGTGTTTTGCAATTTTAAAAGTTTAAATGAATTTTTAATGATGTAATGCAAAATAAAATGCACCTGTTATTTTACACTGAGAATATTACAGAAAATGGAGTTCCACTTTTACTCTCTCTTATCAAATACTCATAAAGAAAGAAAGGAAGAAAGAAAGAAAGAAAAGGAGGGAGATATGGGAGGAGGGAGGAAGGAAAGCGCATAGAAGAGAGAAAGACTTGTTTTTCTTATCCGTTGCCAGCTCTCAAATCCATGTGAAGAGACCAGATTAAAGTTACGTTTGCTGTGGACCCTGCAGACACTACGGAGATCACGAATTTCCTGTTACACCTGGGAATTCCTGTCTCTTTAATGTATGTTTTAATGACAAACACGTAATGCTTTCACTAACTAAACCCAACTATCTGACTTAACATGTCTATTGTAACATACATCTACTGACAGCTTTTCAATTCCTTACATGCTAATTAACGGTATAAGGTAATTACTATTCATATAATTCCTAGTGGTTTTCACAAGGGAAATATTCTTGAGGGTAGAATTATTTCAACTGAAAAGAAGAAGAAAAACTCCAAAGATGAAAAAAGGCAAAGATAAATTAAAAAAAATAAAAATGTGCAAAAAACTATATATCGTACAATTACTCACAACTGGAAGTAACTTTCAAGTGCAAGTAAAATTGCTAAAACAGATCAAAATTATCAATGTATCTTCTACTTCGTCTTCTTCTGGAAAACTGTTTGAAAATGTGAACCTCAAACAATTAGATTCTTTTTCTAAATTGCTACTGCAGACATTATTTCCTATCTAGCACACTTGTCACACTTTTGACCTGGATCAGCTACACATTTCAATGTGACTCTAATCTGGAGTGAGTGTAAAATTGCAGAGTTGGTAGTCTCTCCATAGTTAAGTCTAAAGATAGCTTTCTATCACAAGTCTAAATTTGGCTCTCTGTCAACTTTGCCAAACTCAGGCAAGTGAACTGAAAAGTCACAGATGCACTCCAACTATACATTTTTTTTTTCCGGATTGAGAAAAATAAACTAAGTTTTCCATTTAAGAAGACTAAAATGCAGAGAATTCTTCTTTTCTAACTGGACCTGGCTGACTTCTTTTGGCTTAATCATACAGAAAGGTCCATGACTTACAGAAACACTCTCTGATGTTATTCTCTTTTCATAGTTACATTGATCTTCAGTGTTCTTCTCACCCTTGAAAACAGTATTTGCAACTAAAAAGGGATAATTTCCTAACATTGAAACATTAAGGAACTTAGATTTATTTGGAGTCTGTCTTCTAGATTTCACAGAGCCTGTGCAATTGCAATCTGTGCAATTTCCAATGCCCCGCTGTGCTGTAACTATTCTGAACATATGCTTAAACACTTCTGCCTTTCTGTCTCAACTGTAAAATCTTTTATTTCTTTTTCAACTTTCATAAGGCCCAACTTTCTGAATTATATTTTTGTTAAATATCCCAACATCAACAGCATAAATTCTCTCTAAAATCTTAACAGGCTTATGTCCATTATCTATAAATGCCACTGAACCATATATATATACATACTTATTTAAGGTTCAAGAATTTAGATTCAAAATTTAAACTGCTCTTCATTCTCGCTACAGTCTAAATCTAAATCACATGCCTGTACACTTCAAAAAAATCTGAATTTAGGCCTTACAGGAATATTGATTTAAATTTTTAAAACACGCCACAGAACAAGGTATCACTACAAAAACTAGAGCTGCTGTGAAGCAGTACATGGTGTGTTACAGAATCATACACATCAGTCATGTTTGTGTAAAAGGTGGCACAACAGGAAAACAGCAGTCTCAAAATAAAATAATATACAGAATTGGGGAGCAACAACTCACTGTGTGAAAAACAGTTAATCTGAGTAACAGCCAAAAGCAGGATATTGATACATACAAATGAAACAAATAAAAGATTCACACCGCAGTACTAAAAACTCTGTGAAGGACAACCATAAAGGAAAGGAAAAGTCCGCTCACACACACACACACACACACACAAAAGGGAACATCTGCATTGGCTTCTTTGGAAAAAAACAAAAATAAAATAGAGTGCACAGACCATATACGAAGATACCGTGGACTTACACTGTCAAATCCCTCACCGGGCACAAAACGATGAAGGAAAAAGCACTAAAGAAGTAATTAATTTAGAAGTATTTCAGAGGTGAGAGATCAGAAAACACTTCTAAACATATAAAATCCTGAATGATGTCTGCTGCTGAAATGGCCCTTCACTACCACATTATAAGTTTAAGCACTGGCTACTAGCTTTACTATGAA